TACCGGGATAGCCAGCCAGCCAGCCAGCCAGCCAGCCAGCCAGGCAGCCAGCCAGCCAGCCAGCCAGGCAGCCAGCCAGTCAGCCAGTCAGTTAGTCAGTAATTCAGTCAGTCAGTCAGTCAGTCAGTCAGTCAATCAGTCAGCCAAGCAACCCGGAATTAACATGGTTGGAATCTCCGCATCCCCCCCTTCCCTCCCATCAGGTCTCCAATCCAAAGTCTACCCTCTTACTATCCACCTCGCATCTATCTCCATAACTATCTACTTTCAACCTAACCTAACCTATCCACCTGCACTAATCCAACCTCTCAGTTGTGCTAAACCTCACCGCTTGTAATAATAATAATAATAATAATAATAATAATAATAATAATAATAATAATAATAATAATAATAATAATAATAATGATAATAATGATAATAATAACCACGAATAATAATAATAATAATAATAATAATAATAATGATAATAATGATAATAATAATAATAATAACAAAACAATGCGTGACACTATACACAGTACAACAATTTTACAACATGAAATCCCACTTCATCTTCAACACAGAACCTTACACCTGCCTACAACACAGAACCTTACACCTGCCTACACCACAGAACCTTACACCTGCCTACACCACAGAACCTTACACCTGCCTACAACACAGAACCTTACACCTGCCTACACCACAGAACCTTACACCTGCCTACAACACAGAACCTTACACCTGCCTACAACACAGAACCTTACACCTGCCTACACCACAGAACCTTACACCTGCCTACAACACAGCCATACACATCTTAAACAAACCGATAAATTGTATCTAATATCTTCCATGAACGTAACACACTACGAACAACGAATATTTTTGACAATTAGATCAATTATTCGGCAATAACAAGGGGAGGATGGAGGGAATTGTTCATTATTCAGATATATCGGTCATTATCGGTCATTCCAGCTCTCGGGGTATACTAGTATTGGGCCATTAGATATACTATGGCTTTCCTTATGGGGTAATATATCTAAATGCATGACAGAAATGTGTTAATGTATCAATAAACGTCTTAATCATCGTCCTCAAGGGGTTAAATCATCATCGTCAAGGGGTTAAATCATCGTCTTCAAGGGGTTAAGTCATCGTCCTCAAGGGGTTAAATCATCATCGTCAAGGGTTTATATCATCGTCCTCAAGGGGTTAAATCATCGTCTTCAAGGGTTTAAATCATCATCGTCAAGGGGTTAAATCATCGTCTTCAAGGGTTTATATCATCGTCCTCAAGGGGTTAAATCATCGTCTTCAAGGGTTTAAATCATCGTCCTCAAGGGGTTAAAAAGGTTCAATCAATAACATCATTGTATTATTGTTTCAGTTTCAGCGTCATTTTGGCTGCTATCTATGCACCGTAGCTTAAATGAGTTAGTTAAGCGCGTTAGTAAGAGTAAAATGAACATATGACCCTTTGAGTTTCCTTCTTTGTAACTTATGTGAGTCGCTTAAATCAGTTATTCCATCTTAAGTTAAGGGAGAAAAAATTGACGTAAGAACCTCTGCGTCTTAGGATCCCTGCAGGTCCGCCACGGCACTGCACAGAACACTCGTCTGGTGGGAAAAAATATGCGTCTTATGACGTCAACCCGGCGGTGACAGCAAGGAGGGAGAGAAGAAGGGAGCAGGGGGTGGTGAAGGGGGAGGGAGGAGGAAGGGAGTATGGAAAGAGAAAAGAGGGAGGGAGGGAGGAAGGGAGTATGGAAAGAGAAGGAAGGAAGGAAGGAAGGAATGAGTGTAGAAAATAGGAGGGAGGGAGTAAGAAGGAGGAAGGGAATGTGGAAAGAGGGAAGGAGTGAGAGGGAGAGAGGGGAGGTAGGTAGTTTGGAAGGGAGAGGGAGGGAGAGATGGAGGGACGTGTCAGGAGGACGCAGAGAGAATCAGAAATGAGGCACTGAAGAAAAAGGCATAAGAGAGGCAGCGGAGGGTGAAGGAGAAAGCAGCAGCTGACGAGACAAGAACAGACAGCGAAGAGAATGACATAGAGAGAGTAATGGAGCAAAGGGAGAAGAAAATAGGAGGTTAAGATAGAAGAAGAAGAAGAAGAAGCAAGGACGAAGTGAGAAGAAACAACATAGCGAAAGCAGGTGGCAGTGAGGCGTCGAGACAGAAGAGGAGAAATAGTAAGGAATAAAGTAATGGGAGCGGTAAAACACAGAGAGAGCGAGGCAGCGAAGGATGAAAGAGAACGAGATAGCCAGAAAGTGAGGAGGAGAAGGACGAGACGACAGGAGAAGGGGGCGAGGACACGAGAACGCTACCACACGAGAACACTACCAAGACATCGCGTGTTGTAAGCCAGGGAGGTATTGTACAGTGACCCACCTAGCAGGATCTCGAGGTAGGGGGAATAGGGGGATGGGGGGAGGGGGAGGGGGGGAGGTTGGGAGGAGGGGGATAGGGAGGGGGGATAGGGGGGTGGGGTATGGGTAAACAGGGTGGGTCAAGCTCCTTCAAGAGTATACAGTATCTTGGTTGTATTATTGTATGTTGGACCTCTTGGCTCTGGGGGTACCTTAAAACAGTCACCTCAATAGCTATAATCTGTATGGTCAATAGATATCAATAGCCAACAACGTCATTATATATATTACGTGATTCAACTAATAACAAAGTTAACCCATTCTGTCTCTTCACCAAACACGACGTAGGATTCTACCATGCCACACTCACACGTGTTTTACATTAATGAACAAATTATCACAGGTAGTTCAGAAAAAATATCACGTGAAACCCTTTAAACATAATAACACGCTCGTTTCTTACAATGTACTGCCACAAACACAGGCAGCAACACACAACACTGGCTGGTGGCTCCCCGTATACCTGCCACGGGACAAAAATAATCACCATACAGCAGTTTTTAATCTGATTTCATACCAGTGTAAAGCAATAATTTAAACACAAGCCACATGAACTATTGTAGGCCTACATACTGACGCTGACTATTCAACATTTTCTCGTGTCTATTTGAACCGAAATAGCAAGTTAAACATTACAGTTCGATATAAAACTTTCTGAAAGATAACTTGTAATTTGTATCAAATTTTATTCTTTTATTAAAGTTAATTAAAATAAACTTTGGGAATTATAACATCCGATTTAATCATGCGGAAATGTGTATATATAAATACATCACACTACAGGAATAAAATTTAAAGTTTCAAGTAAAGTATATTTATATAAACTTACTAAAGCGTTGAAACATCTACAGAAAGATGAAATACTGATAATATTCTAAAAGAGACAAACAAATCCTATCCCTGGTAAACACGACATCTTAAGAGGGCACAAGTCACCGTCACACACAACATAATCATCTCACAAAAGGAAAATCATCACTTTTCACCTCAGTATTTTTACGTCAACTGAGAAAATTAACAATTACGTACACCTGCTTCACCAACATCGTCTAAGTAATTGGCGTGTCACTCTCGGCAGAATAAACATGACACACAATGCATAAGTCTCCAGAAAGAGGATGAACTGTGCGCTTCAACAAATAGTGAGAGACAAAAAAAATCAAGGAGGTCGTGTGTGTGTGGTAGCTGGTCAGGTGATACTTGCAGGAACAGACAAACAGTGACATTAGCGTCTTGTTGTTGTGCAGTCGTCACCATGAATCACCTATAGTGGTTTACCTCCTACTGTACACTTAACTACATTTTCTTGATCTAACTCCCTTTACCATCATCAGAGGATATTGTACCAGTGCACTAAAGTCTCCCGCAACTGTTTAATCTTGTGTCTCGAGACCCCCGCCCAAGCACCTCTAAACTCTCTCTCTCATTATCGTCTGCACCAACGATAAAGCGGTCGTTGCCCTCCCCCGGTGTGTTTGTTTCTGTGTTCTACAAAATGAACCATAATAATAATACAGGTTGACAATCCCTTATCCGAAATCCTTGGGGCCAGAGGCATTTCGGATTTCGGAATTTTTCGGTTTTCAGAATGGTTAGTTTTTTTTTTTTAATGTGTATTAGCCCACCCGGGCACAAGTCACTGACCCACATTGGGGCCCGGAGGGCAAAAATATAATAATAATAATAATAATAATAATAATAATAATAATAATAATAATAATAATAATAATAATCATTAGGTCTAGGTCGTGTTTCTCACTTTTTATCTTTTTTCATTCTTGTATTTCTTTATTATTATTATTATTATTATTATTATTATTATTATTCTATTAATACAGTATTATTGTTATTATTATTATTATTATTATTATTATTATTATTATTATTATTATTATTATTATTATTATTATTATTATTATTATTTTATTTTGGTGTATTTTTTATTGAAATTTTTATTTACTATGAATAATTATTATTATATATATTGTTATTATACTTATTATTATTACTATTACATTCCCCAGGCCCCGATGTGGGTCAGTGATTTATGCCTGTGTGGGCTAATCCCTGTTAAAAAAAAAATTGCTCCACAAAAAAATTTCGGTTTTCAGAGCTTTTCGATTTTCGCAATTTCGGATAAAGGGTTGTCAACCTGTAATAATAATAATATGACAAAAGACACGTTCTGTCAGTTTGTGATCGACCTTGAGATCCTGAGAACCAAGGCAGATCAGACCACCATGCTGCTACCGTGTGTCTATGTTGAAACGGCTGAAACATTGTTATATCACACACACACACACACACACACACACACACACACACACACACACACACACACACACACACACACACACACACACACACACACAAACTAAGAGAAGAGCGCCATCTGTTGGTAAACAAAATATCTTGTTTATGAAGCTTCAGACTCAAAACCTCAGACATTCAATATCCATACACCTTCATACCGGTGTTTTCTTAGTGTACCAGCCACCAGTCGTGTCTGCCTCAGGAGAACACAACTGGTGGTTGGTACACTAGGAAAACTTGCACCAGGTCTGCCGGATCTCATGACTTACTTACCCGGAACGACGCGTGATATAGAGGTGGTCAAGACGTCACGGTGACGAGTCCTGAATAACTACAGTAATACAGAATACTTCAGCCAACACCCAAGAATAAAAAAAAGGCAGGAAAGTATTAAGGTAATCAGTCACAAGGTAATACTGTAGTTATTATTAAACACATAATATACCGTACTGCAGGCTATGGTACCCCTGGCGGCAACACATAAAACACAATGGTATACAGTCTATACTTTACAATCAAACGGACGCATTTTCATATCGAGAGGAGATACACTACATTATGGATGCAGTTAATATTTTCAGCTTCATATATAAACTGTTGGATCAATAACGGACAGTTTATATGCAAAACATTAAATAAAATTCATACATACAAAATAGTGAAATATTTCGTACCCAACATTTTTTTACGTCGTACTCAACTTGTTATATCTTGTAGTTAACTATTTCTATCTGTTTAATTATTCTTCCTTGTTACAGGTCCTCCCCTCCCGCTGTGTTCCGTCAGTCTGGGAGGGGACGGGAGGGGAGGGGGGATGGTTCCTCATTTCTCCCAAAATATCATCAAGTTCTGAACGTGAGAATGTTGCGTTACTTCCTACACAAATCTAAATAAAACAATTCACCTTAACATTGTCCAAAGTCCATAAATCATTTGACAACTTTTTTTAATAACTATAATTAATACGAGGATATTTTTTTTTAATACGGAATAAATATGTTGTAATGACGTCAACTGGGTGGTATTGTTTGGCGGCCATTTTCTATTTAATATTCCAAACTTACTTAACAACAGGAAGACCATAAAACTCAACAATAGTCATATGATAAAAAACAAAAAACAATATTCCATGCAAAAATTTCTATCACAATTATAATTATATTTCCTAAAAAAAAAAAGGTTAATTCATGGATATAAATTTTTCTCACATCAATAATAAGTTAATAAATACAGTAATACAGAATACAAAACAACATAACCACTACAGTACAGTAGGAAGACAGATATACAGTAATACAGTACAGGGCCGGGTACAGTACAGGGGCCGGGTACAGTACAGGGGCCGGGTACAGTACAGGGCCGGGTACAGTACAGGGGCCGGGTACAGTACAAGGGCCGGGTACAGTACAAGGGCCGGGTACAGTACAAGGGCCGGTTACAGTACAGGGCCGGGTACAGCAGGGGCCGGGTACAGTATACAGGGCCGGTTACAGTACAAGGGCCGGGTACAGTACAGAGCCGGGTACAGTACAAGAGCCGGGTACAGTACAGTAAGACGCTGGGATGACATGAAAGAACCACTTTAATGGAAGTACAGATAAGGTCGTAACTCAACTCTGTCCTCCTGTCTGTATTCCAGCTCTGTCCCCCGTCCGTCACACACACACACACACACGCACACACACACACGCACACGCACAATTAGTACCATACATAAACCACAAAGTAATCACCAGAGGAGTTCGTGTCACCCATTCATTTAACCATGAGCCACGAGACGCACTGACGACAGATAATGCAACAGCAGCACAAGACTGACACACGTATAAACACACCTGTCTATAGTCATGCAACACACTAATGTTTGACGCCTAAACATTCATATTCTCGTTAAAAAAATATTAATTATATGTTTATTATATTTTTCTTTTGTTTTTTTTCTGTTTTCTTCTCCATTTGATATCGTATTTATGTTTATTTGTATTTTATCAGTTCCTTTGTTCCCCTGTTTTTTTTGTGTTTTTTTTCCATCACTGTTTGTTCTGTCCGTATTTTTGTAATGGTATGGGAGGAATAGAGGCAGAAGGGAAGAGAAACAAGAGAGACTAAAAGAAATAGTTATTACACAGAATTAAAAGAATGTTAGGTGTGTAAAAACGAAGGAAGAGAAAATAACGGGGAATTGTGGGTAAAAAAAAGTTATGAATTATTACAAAGTATTTATCGGTAACTAGAGGTAACGGAATGTGTGTGTGTGTCTGTGTGTGTAAGGGGGAGGGGAGACGGACACACACACACATGACCTCCCTACACACACACACACACAACACTGACTCAGACTGTATACACTAGAAGTTGTTTTCAAGGAATTAGCTCAGGTTGTTATTGTCACCATCAACACCACCAAACCTTCCTTCACTACCAACACCACCAGTAACCACCATCACCAACACCTCCGTCACCATCAACACCATTGTCACCACCAGAACCACTATCACTAATACTACCGTCAACACCAAACACCATCGTCAACACCACCGTCAACACCAACACTACCGTCAACACCAACACCACCGTCAACACCAACACCACAAGTACTATCGTCAACACCAACACCACCGTCAACACCAACACCACCGTCAACACCAACACATCCGTCAACACCAACACCGCAAGTACTACCGTCAACACCAACACCACCGTCAACACCAACACAACACTGCGCTAATATTGTGACGTCAGCACTTGTACTTTACGTCGGCCTAAAGAAGGAATAATTTTTCGACTACAAGCCAAGTCAGGCCGCCTCCTTTCCCCCAGTACCTCCCTCCCTCGGTACCTCCCTCCCCTCGGTACCTCCCTCCCTCAGTACTTCCCTCCCTCAGTACTTCCCTCCCTCGGCAGTACTTCCCTCCCTCCCTCAGTACTTCCCTCCCTCGGCACCTCCCTCCCTCAGTACTTCCCTCCCTCAGTACTTCCCTCCCTCAGTACTTCCCTCCCTCAGTACTTCCCTCCTTCAGTACTTCCCTCCCTCGGTACTTCCCTCCCTCAGTACTTCCCTCCCTCAGTACTTCCCCTAAACTAACCTAATCATTATTTCATCGTCATTAAAACCTCCACCTTTCACATAATTAATACATTTCACGATACAAACCTTGACTTTATAACAACAGGTGAAGGGAACTAATTAGCTCATCCTACAGGTAACAACACGACCCTCTCACCTGTCGGGAATATATTAAGCCTTAGTAGCCTCAGGTGGGGGGGGGAGGGCATACCTGTTGACCCAAACTTAACAAATTACAGTTGAAAATACATAAGTTCTTAAGTGAGAAACAAGTAAAAACCTCCATTTAACGGACATTTATTTTAACAGATATATTCCGCTATATGGAGGTTGCAATCTAACGAACCTCGATATAATGGACTTCACTCTCTTAAATAGTTCGTTATATAGAGGTTTCACTGTAGTAAATTTTTATATCCATATTTCTTTCAATTTATTTATATATTTTTTTTCTGCGTTTTTTTCCTCCCCTTATAACTGCTAATGTATCCGTGTTGTGTTGAGACTTCCACGGCCGTACACAATCTCGTCCCCCTTAAACCCGTTACAAAGACACCGGACACAAAACCACAAACAACAGGGTTAAATGTGATAAACAACTCAAGTGTCCGTAGAGGAGTTTTCCACATCATCACTACACTGTATTGAAACACTCTTGACTGTTCAGGAAGGAAACAGTTTCTCTCTGACTTGCACCCACCAACTAGTTTAAATTTCCTGTCATAAAACAATTTTTTTTTTACTAGCTATATCGAGAAGTAACTACATAACTACAAACCTCGGTGGACCTCCATAAAGACACTTCCAGACGGGTATAAAAAAAGTTCAACTACATAAAAAAAAAGGGGGTGAAAGTCATGTTTTCTTTAAGTTTACACACGTGACGCATTTACCTTCACACATACTGAGATTAGAAAGTGCGTGATTTGGAGAGTGTCATAAAGGTAGTGTTTTTTCTTAAATATAATCATTAAAAACACCAAAAAGAAGCTTAATCGAAATAAATTCGTATATAATAAAAGTAATCACCGAGGCGTAAGAAAAACTACTGACGGTGTAAATTGCTGACGGTGTAGTGGTGCTCGGGGTGTTGAGAGAGTCATCCCCTGTCGTGTCTGTTCCCGGCGGCGTAGAAGGGAGTCAATGTCCTGACGCTGTACAACATGACGGCGGTGAAGCATTTCTCGCCCCCTATACACACACACACACACAACACTTACTTCTACGCACCCATGGCTCCTGTGCACTCAAACTACACCACTACAGTATGTACTCTTGGCCTGTGCACTCCCATAGCACAACTATGTACTCTTGGCTCCTGTGCACTAAAACTACATCACTATGTACTCCCATAACACATTTATGTACTCTTGCCTCCCGTGCACTCAAATTACACTACTACACACGTAAATCCCAGAACGCTTACATTTACACACAATTGACTGTAACGCACCCACATGCCCCACACACACACACTACCTAACACCTACCAGAGCCCCCACCTGTCGTCATGCGTTCATAACAAAAGCAACATTTTCCTACTCCACTCCCCTGCCCTTCCTCCCTTCCCACACTGACTCCATAATGAACACGAAAAGCGCAGTTTTGACGGATAAAATACAGAAAATTCCTAACCTAAGCACCTGCGCGCCCCCCTACCCAACTCAGTACACATGAAAGGCGCAGTTTTATGACATACAGTAATAAAACTTCCAAGACCCCGCCCCTGTACCTCCCTTCCCCATGAAAAGTGCAATATTGAGGCAGTCTTTATTCACTCGCCTCTTCATCCCTCGTATGAAAGCTCTCAACACAGGTAGTTCGCTATGTAGTCTGCCATCTATAAATTAGGAAGCTTTATCTAGGTAACAAGACCCTCAAGTACTCTTCATGTAGAGGCTAGAATGTGTTGTAGTACTCACACATCAACAGCCACACGTCCAAAAGGTCGATATTTATAAACACAAAGTCACAACAACAATAATGTAGTACATCTCGAAATAAAAACAACAAATATCATAGATTATTCGACCCTATGTGAAATATAACCTCAACTAATACACACACACACACACACACACACACACACACACAAAAAACCGACACTTTCCTATTACTGTATACATACTGCGTAGCCACACACACACACACACACACACACACACACACACACACACACACACACACACACACACACTATTTATACTACTATTATCTCTTGTATATTATTAGTCAATCAAATGACCAATTTAACAATAATGTATCTTTATCGTCTGTTACTGTATATATTCAGTCTTCTGGCTACCAAGTTCTTTCAATAAACGTTAATTATTATTATTATTAACACACGCACACTACAGCTGAGATACGTAGGAAGTGCTGAGTCACTTCCCGACAGGTACACATGTATACAAACCCAGACGTACACATACCTGAAGGGGAATGATCGCTAAGGCGACGCCCCGCCCCTCGCTCTCTCAGACCAGCAGCGAGCTGATGGCGGGGTGCTGTTTTATATGCTGCGTCCTGAGGCCCTCAGGTGAATGACAACCATATTTAAGTGTCTTGGTGACGCCTCTGACGAATATCGTGTTGGTTACTGTATAGCGATGTCACCGTATCATTTAGACTGTCACCGTGTTATTTACGATGCTATCACAGGGTCATTAAAACTGACGTTAACGTGTCATTTACAATGATGTCACCGTATCAATAATATTGAGTTGTCGAACATCCGAGTCGGTGCTTAAGGAGTTGGTAGTGCCTCTCCTTTACAATGACGTCAATGTGCAGAGTGGACATAGCGCTCACCTGCTGTCTATTGGGTCAGTGATCAGTCCTTTGGCCCCAGTGACTCGCCCAGCTGTCTTTAGGCACCGAACTTTATATTTGAGGAACAGAAGACGGCCAAGTGCAGCAACAGCCACACCGCCTCGTTGTATTTCGAAAAAAAGCCCCATTCTTCAGTATGTTGTGTTTACAATGCTCCTAATGGACTGTCAGTCCTACAAGACCTATTTTCACTTTTTCTACAATCAGAGCCCGCGCACACGTTCAGTTTGTATATGAGAACACCATCAGAGTTTCCTGTTGGTGGTTCCTCTAACACCATCACCGGATCTCAGAGGTCGTCATTTCTGGTGATAATTCACTTAACACGGAGACCTACCAAAATAATACGAACCCTCCGTGAATTAGTCACCGACGTAGATACTATTTGCCACCACCTGTTGCGTCGCCGTCGAGAGCCTCATAACATTTCTAAAAGCTTTCTACACCGAGAAAGCTCAAAAGGTTGTCATGAGAAGATATCGGGGAGGAAGATGCGTCATTAATGTTACGGGGTAGTGTTGAGTGCCTGCGTGAAGGAAAAACTGCATCGTGGGGTTCGGGGGAGGGCGATAGGGTGTGGATCAGAGGCGGCAACGAGTATGTATATGTATGTGTGGTTATAGGAGCGTGTTGTAGGCGAGCTTCTCGGCACACACGCATTACTGGAACCAACTGAGTGTAGAGGGTGGGTGTGTGGTGGTGGTGAGGAGGGGGGAGAAGGGGGATGACTGGAGAACAAAAGGGGACTGAAAGATAAACGAAGAGAAGCAGGAGGTGGAGGAAGAGGAAAAGAGGGAAACGGAGAGGAAAGTTTGAGGTGCGAGGAATTGGAGGGAGAGAGGGAGGTAGAGGGGGATGTTGGCGGTAGTATGGACAACGGTGGATAACAGCGAGAGGGAGGGAGGGAGGGAGGGAAAGACTGACACTCGTTTACCAGAATATGGTTGACACGCCACACGGTATAAAGCTCGTACTGGCGTCACTAGAGCATGATCACTGCCAACTACCAGCAACGGCGTCCACCAACAGCAGTGTGCGAAGTGCCGTGGACGGGAGCAGTCACGTCCATCAATAGTGCAATAGTTGTGTGATGTCCTTTCTACACACACACACACACACACACACACACACACACACACACACACACACACGTAAGCCATCACGATGAACAGCCCAGGGTGTTAACGGCGTCAACTCACCTGTCGATTGTGGTGTCCTATGCAGTGTCTTCTGGCCGCACCTGAAGAAAATAAATACAAATTAGTTTTACCAATAAAGAGGAAAGTAATAATAATAATAATAATAATAATAATAATAATAATAATAATAATAATAATAATACAAATAATAATAATAATAATAATAGAACTACTACTACTACCAATAATAATAATAATAAAATAAAAACACCCTAAGACCAAGAAGCAGAACCCTGTAGCCCAAAGAAGTACAAGGTCGTCAAAGGGTAAATGCAACTCGTGTTTTCCTTTGAGTAAACCTTCCACAACATAAGTGAACAAAAACAACTGGCAAACGATACTCAGGGTAAAGTATAACAAACAGACGACGAACATTTGAGATACGCTAATACGACCTACACTGTGAACGGGGGAGAGGAGGAGGGGGATACTAAGTTCAAACAAGATTAGAAAATTATAAACAAGACATAATCGACAATAATAGTAACACAATAATTAACACAACTTACAAAAAATAAAAAATAAACTACTATACTTTTGGGGCCACGAACACCGACTGGTCCAAGTGCAAAAAAACAAAAACAAAAACACAAAACAACGAAAACAAATCAATAAACATTACTAGTTATCATAAAACGACATTGGATAAAATGCTATTACCAGACATATCCCCTGGAGGCTAACCCCTCCCCCCTTCCTCCACTCATGTATGTATGTATATATATATATTTGCAAGACGTTTGGCAAAGCTTAATCGGTCGGAAGAAATGTATAAGCAAAAGGACTTAAACTGCCTCTCCTCCACAAGTGTACTCAGAGGAAGGAGAGAGAGAGAGAGAGAGAGAGAGAGAGAGATGGAGGAAACAAGGAGAATGGAGAAGCGACAAAGTGGGAAAAAGAGGAAGGTGATAACGAGCGATGGGAGGAAGGGAGAGGTAAGATGAGAAGAAGGTAAAAAAGAGAGGAGGGGGAGGAGGGGAGGAAGAAGGTAAAGAGGGAGAAGAGGAAGTAAGAGGGGAAAAAAAAGAGAGGAGGGGGAGGAGGGGAAGAACACAAGAGAGAGAGAGAGAGAGAGGAACTAGGGGAGGAGGAAAGAGGTAAGAGGAGAAGTAAGCAAGAGGGAAGGGAAGAAAGCAAGAGAGAGGGAAAGGCTAAGAGGACCAGGCAACTCATTACTTGTGACAAAACATAACACAAGAGTTTGGTGGAGGTAATGAGGCGGTAGCGTGAGGCAGACGATCACTGCAACAATAACAATAACATCAGCTGTACACACACTAACAACAACAGCTATAGTGACAAGCAACAACAGCTATAGTGACAAGCAACAACAGCTATAGTGACTGGCAACAACAGCTATAGTGACTGGCAACAACAGCTATAGTGACTGGCAACAACAGCTATAGTGACCAGCGACAACAGCTATAGTGACCAGCGACAACAGCTATGGTGACTGGCAACAACAGCTATAGTGACTAGAAACAACAGCTATAGTGACTGGCAACAACAGCTATAGTGACTAGCAACAACAGCTATAATGACTAGCAACAACAGCTATAGTGACTAGCAACAACAGCTATAGTGACTGGCAACAACAGCTATAGTGACTAGAAACAAAAGCTACAAGGAAACCAACAGCAATAACAGCTGCATAAGAGACCAAGAACAGTGAAGGTAACATCAACACCACCACCAGGCTGCTCAGACCCCCTCCAATGGCTCGGGGAAAACAGGACACAGCCGCTCCCATCCACCATTTAGTAGCGTATTAAAATAATGTCCCATTCAACACAGCGGCGGTCCCCCTTACACATCCCTCCGGCGCCACGCTCGTCACACGTCCCTATATGTAAATGAAGACTAATTACATGGGAATAATAACATGAGGTCAATCCACCAGCATAGGATTACAAAGGACAAGGAAGAGAAACAATGCATAACAGATGAAATAACAACAATTGAGAAAAAAATTAGGGATGCAAAGAGAGAGAGAGAGAGAGAGAGAGAGAGAGAGAGAGAGAGAGTCAACTTCAAACCGTACTGTAGACAAGGCGACGAAAAATGGATCACTACATCAGTTTTATGTACAAGTATGGTCGTTCTTTTACACCTCCTATGCCAAAGAATAGCACACACATACCGTAACCTATATTTAGCCCACTGTAGAGGTTGAGGAACGTGTGTATGGCGCGATAAAAGGCAAAGGTTTATAATCATGCTAAGACATAAACAGTGTTCCTACATTTTAGACGATAATATTACCGAAGTGAACCCCAACATTATATAAAGGCTTTCAACTTTGAGATTATCAGTAAAAAAACAAATATTATCCTGTTAACAATAATAATATTTAAAAATAAAAATAAAAATATTAAAAAAATAAAAAATAAAAATATTGAAAAGGAAACCGTAACGACATCCATATTGGCTGTGAAAATAACAAAACGCTACAACAAAACGAAACGCCACCACAAAATGGACCACCACGAAAATAAAAAAATAAAAACAATAGTCACGTATTAAAAAAAAAAGGCAGCAGACTCTTATGTTAGCAACAATCACCTTGACCTGTGAGTGACCCTGTGACCCTGTATAATAAAGCATAATATTATAATGTAAATCTATGAGCGGTCAAGATAATGCCTACCAACACTACCAAGATTCATGTAGAGTCAAAACACGGGAAACGGTAACACTCTTGAGATAAAACTGGACCATTACAAAAAAAAACGAACCATAACAGAGAAAAACGAATCATAACAAAAAGAAAAACGAACCATAACAAAAAATCGGTCCACCACCAACAGAAAAAGACGACAACAAAAGCAACTCCAACATAACAACACGGCGATAACAAAAAGCTCGACACGACTGCGGTTTGTCTGCCTACAGTATATCCCAGAAGAGAGAGAGAGAGAGAGAGAGAGAGAGAGAGAGAGAGAGAGGCTCAGATAACATACATACATACATACATACATACATACATACATACATACATACATACATACCATACATACATACATACATACATACAGAATACGTCTTTTTAATTTGGTTATAATGTAAGTTTGACTGAAAATGCGTTTACGTCTTCTTCTGATAAGCCACTGGGGACATGTTGTGCGAGTCTGGTGGAGGAGTTGATTGGTGGAGGAGTTGATTGGTGGAGGAGTTGATTGGTGGTGGAGATGATTGGTGGAGGAGTTGATTGGTGGAGGAGATGATTGGTGGAGGAGTTGATTGGTGGAGGAGTTGATTGGTGGAGGAGCGATTGGGTGGAGGAGTTGGGATTGGTGACGAGTTATCACTGGGTGACGAGTTGAGCCTGGTGATGAGTTGATTGGTGGAGGAGTTGATTGTAGGAGGATGTTGATTGGCAGGAGGAGTTGGATTGGTGGAGGAGTTGGATTGGTGGAGGAGTTGATTGGTGAGGAGTGATTGGTGGAGGAGTTGATTGGTGAGGATGTTGATTGGTGAGGAAAGCTGATTGGGCAGGAGGAGTTGATTGGTGGATGAGTTGATCAGGAGGAGTTGATTGGCGGAGGAGTTGATTGGTGGATGAGGCGTGCTCCATTGTTCAATCCCACTCACTGGTCCAAGGGGACATAAACACAGGCACTCTAGACTAACAAACCTAACAAACCCAATAAGGACAATAAGAAGCAACAAAAAAACAAAAACAAAAACCGGCAACCAGGACAGGAACACACACACACACACACACACAAAGACACACACACAAAGACACACAAAGACACACAAAGACACACACAGCAACACAACTCCCATTCATAACACAAGGAAAATACTTCATGACAACACAACACAACACAGGAGCCAGTCAGCACCAGCCACGACACAGCACCCAACCAGCACCAAAAAAAGGGGACAACACACAGGAGCCAGTCAGCACCAGCACAACACAGCAGCCAATCAGCACCAACAGTCAGCACCAGCCACGACACAGCACCCAACCAGCACCAACCACGACACAGGAGCCAATCATTACCAACCACGACACAGGAGCCAATCAGCACCAACCACGACACAGCACCCAATCAGCACCAACCACGACATAGCAGCCAATCAGCACCAGCACGACGCAGGAAGACAAACTTGAACACGGACAGAAAATGACGCATTAAGTTCTTACATGACAGTGGACGGGGTGAGGGTAAGGGAGGAGGAGGAGGAGGGTAGAGAAGCCAGAAAGAATAAAGGGGAGAGAGGAAGGAAGAGGAGGAGGAGGAGGGAAGGAGAAAATTAAGGAGAGGGAATCAGCAGGTGAAGGGGAGAAGCAGAGGGGAGGAATTAAGTAAGAAAAGAAGAAGGAAGTGAGGAGAAAAAGGGGAAGAGAAATAAGGGGGTGGAGGAAATAATGGAAGTGGCAGGATGTAAAAGACAGTGAGAAAAGAGACTAAGAAAGAGACGAGGAAAAGATGAGAAGAAAAAAATGTCCTAAGAAAGTGAGTGAGTGAAGATGAAGATAAAAGGAGAAAGAGATTACTGGAGGAGAATAGGGGAGATAAAAAATGAGAAGAATAAAAAAAACAGGAGAAAACTAAGTGAAGGAAGAAAAAGAATGAAGGAAAAATATGAGAAAGGAGGAAAGAGAAAAGAGAAAATGTGAGAAAGAACAAAAAGAATGAAGGAACAAGACATGATACAGAAATGATAACTAGGAGAGAGAGAGAGAGAGAGAGAGAGAGAGAGAGAGAGAGAGAGAGACACACACTAAGCATAAGAGAGAAAGATTGAAGCCCCTTACACAACGTCTTGATGATCGTACAGCGTAACAACCTCCCATGCGTGTTGCCGACAGCTCTCCTCGCTATTAAACACTCAACAAATACTTCTTTGTCTTCCTCTACCATAAAAAACTATTATTATTCCCGTGTTATGATATTAATACGAAAAATATACAGTGTGGGTAATGATGGTACTACAGATGCGATGTGATGTAAGGTTTGCTTCCGTGTTTTGTGGTTAGTTTCCGCCTTGTGTGATCCTGATGTTATTTTCTTCTACGGGCGAGATTATT